TAGGAATTATTAAATAAATCTGTAGAGGAGAGAGACTAAAGTCAGCAGCAGAGTTTTTGTGCAGTTTAATCCCACATCCAGCTACTCAAGCAGATCCTATTTATTTATTTATTTTTGCCGTAAGCAGCAAATAGACGCATGGGCATTAATTTGTATCTWATTGTTTGCCATTGCTATGCAGATTAGCTGAATCATACTAAGATTCTTTAAAAATTTGACACACTATTTCATTAAATTTATTTTAAAATGATATCAGCCTTTGAGTGGTAATAGTCAGGCTGAACACTTTGTCTTATCCTGTTCTAAACAGCCAGTATCATTCATTTTTCCCTTATGTGTTCTGTTTCTTACCAACCCATCAACCAGCTGATATTTGTTTCTGTTATACCTTACAACAAAAAGGCAAACAACACAGTTTTTCTAACCACTGGACTCTAAAATATCAAGCTTTGTCTTTTTTTGAATTACTGCAACCTTTTTCTTTTTTTTCCTTTTTTTTTTTGACAATCGTGACTTTAAAGATTCATGTTTTTATTCTGCAATCTTTCCCAAATATCACATTTAAAATGGGATTTTGATTTAAGATCTGTGGAACAATTCACCACAAAGGTTTAGTTTGATTTCCTATTATTATTAGTGGTAGTAATGCACATTTTTTGCATGCTACCCCCAATTTACTATAAGAACAATACACCAAYAATTTTGTTCAAATCACAAGACTTGTATGTTTTTGATCAAATCTTTGTGGACGAATTCACTTTATACAATGAAACCATCAAACAAATATAATCTTAAATCAAACCCGATATTAAAAATTACAGTAGAGGTAAAATAACATAAAACAGGAAGCTAGAGCAACATCCACGACATATGAATCAGTTTGACATACAGTTCGTCTTTTTACATTTGCTGTGACGTTCTTATCAGAGGACCCAAGACTTTTTCATCATCTCTATTTTCAGATGTTTGAAGATGCTGGTCAATTTGGCTGTGATAATGAGCTTGGCTGTCTTCAAGCAAATTTGCTTATTTGAAAAAAAAAATTGTGTATTTTCCCCAACCACTTCAACTTTTTTGTTCCTCCAAAGACATGAAGGCAAGTTGAAGGTTGGGAACCATTATTCTCACAAAAACGATAACAAATAAAAAAATATTCTCTGTTAAAATACTAGAAATAATGGGTTTAGTTTTCTTTTCATTTATTAAAATTATGAACGTAAGAGTATATTGACTGGTCTGAACCAAACAATATAAAGTTTATTTTCACACCCCTTTTTAAATACATCCTTCTTTTTGCAAGAAGCTCACTATTATCGATTTTAAGCTTTTCTTGCAGCAAATAATTTTATAAATTCTCCACAGGTTTTCTGCATGCCCAGATATGTTAATGTGAGTTTCTTGGCAATGGACTATTTGTTCATACAGTAAGCCTTTGCATTCAAGGACTCGGGAGATAATTTTGTGTGGGTGCCAATATCYGTGTGTGATGTAAATTGGCTCATTGAAAGAAATGGATGTTAAGCTGCATCTTGAGGCAGAAGCATGTGGCTTTATGGGAAATGAAAGGTTACCCGGTACACGGGACTGTTTTAGCAGTGTCATTCTAAACACAGAAAATGTATAGATTAATTGTTGAAGTTGCATCCTTGGTTGAGGTAGTTTTAACATAAACCAGACTAAATTATACAGTCAAGAACATGTGCAGCTGTTACTGCAGTGACTCAGACGTCCGTGTTGGTTGAGGTGAGGAAGGAACGAATAGTTGTTTAGAGCTGGAGCTGAATTGTGGAGGAAGAAAAAATGGGGGTGGAGCAGAGGAAGACTGTTTTGAAAATACTAATTGATGTTGAAAGGAAAGGTTGAATTTGGCTGCTTCCATTCTTTTTTTAATTTCCACTCCCTAATGGTCAAAATCCTCTACAAACTAAACATTCTTTTCTTTTTCTTTTAAACTTGATTCTGGAGCCAAAGTTGGGGTTTGTTCAGAAAACATGTCATAAGGATAAACAACCTGCTGTGAGCCCTGTTAAGTGGAAACCAATGAGAGTGTGGGAAAAGGATCTATTATTTTATTTCTGAGAGAGAACTGTATCATACGCACTCCGACTAATAAAAATGGTAAATGTAAACTACCTAACTCATTAAGCTAAGATGAACCCTTACTTGTGCCATAACATCCATTTAAATGTTGTGCCTCTTAAGACAACTAAAATGAGCACATTGATGCCCTGAAACATGAATGAATTTAAATATATCATCATATTCATTGATTACCAAAAGTGCAAACGGACATCTTTGGCACTGAGGTTTGGATTATTGCCAAGAGACACAATAATTCAGATTTCTTCACACACCAAGGTGTGGGTGGATAGACAAGGTCAGCTTGTTACAAAGACAGTTATTTATTAACACATAATAGGGTTATGTTAAAAATATGCTTTTAATCTAGGTAGCAATTCTGGTTGACCAACTAATCTATGGACATAAAAAGGGCTTTGATTGTTCTGCTTGGTTTGCAGAAGTATTTTTGGTAACTACATTCTATTGATCTAACCAGGATGAGTCAGGCTCTCTGGGTTTTTTGTAACATTTCATCTAGGGATGCAAGTTATCCATTAATGAATTAATCTAAAGTTGATTGAGCTTATCAATCGACTATTTACTGTTATATAACCAGGCAAATCCCATTGAAATTGCTGATCTCTTTTGCAAGGGAGCCCTGGGCCTGACAGCAACCTATTGTACATATTTTTGGGGTGTGGGGGAAACCTGAATACCCGGAGAAAACCCAGGCAACACATGCAAACTCCGCACAGAAAGACCCCAGTTCGAACTGGGGGGTCAAACCCACGACCTTCTTGCTGTGAGGCATTGGTGCCAACCACTGAGTCATCGTGCTGCCAATAAATTAATTGATTTTCTTAAAAACTTGCTTTCGCTTGTTTTAAGAGGGTCTTTTCATAACATGAAGGGATAGGGTTTTTTTGGAATATGCTGAATACAAAAAGCAGCTTATAATTAACAATTTATTGTGTCAGCTTTATTAAATACTGAATGAATAAACAAAACAAAAAAGGGGGATTTTTCTCACATTAATATACTTGGACACATTTATAACATAACAAAACAGAAATCTAATAGGTTGCTGAATGGTGGGCAAAACGGATGAAAATAAAATATTTGAAGCACTTAATCCACCACGAACATAGAGGTATAAAACTTAATACAATTTATTTACATTTAGACTTTTAGATTTTTTCCCAGGATTGTTTACTTTTTGCTGCCTTCTTGTTGGTTTCTATATGTGGCTAAAACAATAAAGACTTTTAACTCTTGAGGAGGAAGTGGGTCTAACTGGACTCCAGGTGTTCTCTGTGACTAGGGCTGCCACGATTAGTCAACTAGTCACGATTATTGTCGACTATTAAAATCGTTGACTAATTWAATAGTTTATGCATCRTTTATTTTATTTTTTTCTAACTTTGTTTTTCTCTCCAAACTGCTGCGGCACCTTTCACTGCCATGTCTGCCTTTCTGTCGTTGACACATACGCACAGTAGTGGTTATTGGGTCTGCCACAAATTAATATTTTTATTCAAAAAATACAAAGTTAGAAAAAAAACGACGCATTGGCTATTAAATTAGTCATTGACAATTTTAATAGTTGACATAATCGTGACTAGTCGACTAATCGTGGCAGCCCTATCTGTGACTGGAACCTGCTTACCTCTGGGGCAACATAAACATCCTACTCTGTTCTCCAGAGCTCAGAGCTGATGCTTGGTTCTGTTGGACCACTCAGGCTCGTTCCCGAGAAGGTGGGGTAGGCCACAGCAAACTACACCTTAACTATATAACATGAACACGATAAATGTCACTAATCTAATTAATTCACCTATTTTTGTTTGGTCCATGACTCCATGCTCTGTCTCCTCTAAACATCAAACACAGAAATCAGAAAGTAGTATTTTTATTTTATTTTTTTTAGCTATACTTGCCGTTAGCCAGTCCTTTCGCTAAAACCGGATCACAGAAAAGCTTTGGTTACGCTGCTTTTCCTTTTGCTGGATTTGAATATTCTTTGGTCTGTCCTTCCACAACCACTTCTCTTTTTATTTTCCTCCAAAGACATGAAGGAAAACGAGTGAGAAATTAAATAATCCACCTGTTTTATGTTAATCTTGCTCGCCATCGTACCTACTCAGTCTACACCAAACCACACCCACATACACTCATGCTGGAGTCACATTATAGTACGCCCACCATCACTGGCTAAAGCCTGTGGCCTTGGGCCTAAGAAAATCAGCTTGAAGGAGCAGAAACCGATGGGGCAGGATAAGACACCCGTCAATCATTCTGTACCAGAAACTACATTAAAGTAACTGGGCTGTGAAAAGTTAGACCCTTGGGAATGACTCTGGGATTTTCTCCAGACTGTTTGGCTCCAGTTTTGCTGTAAATTTCACAAAATTTGATACAGTAATTTTAAATCATGTTTATTAGGTATTTTAACATTTTTAATGTAAAACCAGGAAGGGCTTAGCCCCACTGGCCCCCTATACCAGCCATCACTGATAAGTGGTATAGGTACTTCTTATTGATGACCAGATGCAACCTTGTTAGATTTTTCTAACTGGATTATTGAGATGCATCAGGACAAACATTCTATTAAGATTGTTAAAAAGCATGCTGTGGGTTATTTTTTATTTCTTTTTTATTGTGGTTTTTGTTGATTGTTTCGATCTTTGCATTCTCTTTTTGTGCTATGTGAACATTTTTTGCATTACACAATTTTTTATTTTGTTTGTGTGTGCAGTACTGTATAATTTAAAACAAAATKTTCATGTTTCCTGCTGTATGCCAATATTCCAAACCAATATCTTTTTTTGTTCCTGTAATCACAGTGGAACACTGTTCTTGTCAACTGTTTCATGTACTTATTTAACACCTTTTTATTTAAGTGGTTGGCTAATCTACCAGTGTCTTGCCTGTGTTTTTAGGTACTGGAGAAAGCGGCAAAAGCACTTTTATTAAGCAGATGAGAATAATTCACGGGACTGGCTATACGGATGAAGATAAAAAGGGCTTCACCAAACTGGTTTATCAGAACATCTTCACCTCCATGCAGTCCATGATCCGTGCAACTGAGACGCTCGTGATCCCCTTTAGGTATACACAGAATGAGGTGAGTGCTTGAAACCATAAGTAGAATAGTTATCTTTCCTTTAAAAGATGCGTATTCAGTAGGGAGTTAAGGATGCAAAAAAAAAAAAATTAAAGATGTGAGGTAACCAAAATTTTGTTCTTTCACTAAGCTTGAGTTTTTATATTTTGAACAGTTGTTCAGACCTGGCCTTTTGAGTTGCATTTTGTTTTCTTGATAACTTTTATTCACTTGGCGCATTGTGGAATGAGTACGATACAAAGACTAGTGACTTCACAGAACTCGAGTGAAGATAGAAGTTTGTTAAATCTACTAAAGAACAGTGGTGYGCTGTAGTTGTGGTCTGTTTCTGTACAGCTTCACTGTGAAGTTGACATCAATGCAGTTTAATTAGGCTACGTTCACACTGCAGGTCCTAATGCTCAATTCTGCCTTTTTTTTTTCCAATGTGATGTGATGTCACATTCAGCTCACTGTTTACAGATTTGGCTAAACATGGATGCTACTTGTTAGCATGTCAAGTCTGAAGTTGTGCAATCAGCTGATTAAATAATTATCTGACGTGCTTGTTTAGTTGTGTTTATTTTTCATTTTATTTTCAAAACAAAGCAACGTTCTGGCAAGAAACAACACACCACATGCGAAAATATATTTCATTCATGAACAATCAGATTTCAGATATTAAATCACGCGAGACTTCCTGAAATCTCGCGAGAATTCAGATGTCAGAGGAAAAATCTCACGTGACCTCCAGAGAGACGTGAGTTCAGAGTGAACAAACCTTTGCAACAAAGAAGAAACAATGTTGATCATTTGTGGATTATTTTTACCAGAAGAAAAACAATTCCATAGGACTTTTAACACCCAGCAGACTTTCTAGTGAGTCATGACAGTTTTTTGTCCTCTGTATTTTGGAATCCCCTCCATGTTTACGTCACCTCGCTTTCTGATTGGCTACACGTCCCATTCAGCAGGTTGTGAGCTCATTTGTTCTCGGGTGAACGCTACACAGACTGTGATATCGGGCTAAAAAAATCAAACGTTGAATATCCCCGATTTGAGGTCGGAGCGGTCCCGACATCTTTCCGAGCCGACTAGATCACTCTTAACTCACCACCCACKGCGGGAATACATGCAATGATTATCTTTAGAGCCATCACGATAATCTGGACTTCCTTAAGATTGTCAGAAGGGCAAAAATCGACATGATTATCTCTCCGTGTGACGCAGGCCTAAGACATGCAGAGTTACAATATTTTAAACGGCATGACTTGAGGTTAACATTATTGGATCAATCCGCTCAACCCCACCTCACAAATGTAAAAGTCAGATAAAATGCAACACGAGCATTCAGACGGCAGTCACTTTGAAAATCAGCAGCTACATATCAGATTCAGTACCACATACTGAATCATTACCACATACTGAATCAGTACCACATACTGAATCAGTACCACATACTGAAAAGACCTGGGCCGAATTTGAAAAAAAAAAAATCACATTTGTCATGTTCAGACTGTCATTAAAAAAATCTGATGAGTTGCATGCGGCAAAAAAATTAAATTTGGGTCACATTTGCCGGCAGTGTGAACATAGTCTTGGATGTTTATAATGTGACATTGCTGCTCAGGCTTTAGTCCTGTGAGTGACAGTACATGTTATATATTATGGTGACCACAGCAGGTCCAATCATTTCCAAAAACAAAATCGAAACAAACTAAAGAAAAATGTGCCATGTTGTGATCTGGTAATCTGATAAATCAGACCTTTTTATTGAGAAGGTTTCTGATAACTGTTCATTAAAACAGTTGGCCAAAATAAAAACAAAAGCTATGACTTCAGAGTATTCTCAAGAATGGTCCTTTAATAAGCTGGCAACTGTGCAGATTTATTTTTTGGACTCTAAGCCGTCCAGGTAATCGACTTGCGTCAGTTCAGTCCTACAGCTTGGCTGAGAATGAATTGCAATCAAACGTGGATAAAATGGCTACTCTAAAGGTGGTTTGACTGAAAATGTTTCCAATGTGCATTAAGGCCTTTCACACTTACATTAAGCACCACCTGAGTCTAATTACTCGAGTCAGATTGTAGGGCCAGGTCTGAACATTCTCTCCAGTGTTTGTGTGAATTCATTCAAACTTGGTTACACTATTATGGTTCATAATCTTTGTGAATTTTTACTTCTGACATAAATCTGTTAGGGCTGCAACTGATGGTCTACTAATCTGTGATTATTTTTCCAATTAGTCGATTAGGCAATGATTATTTTTGTCATGACGTCCAGCTAAGCTTCCTGTGGGCGCACCTCCTGTTCCAGCTCCAGGGCACACATCATCTCACCTGCTCATCATACCTGTGAATGTCACTCTGTTATCCAGTGTGTCTACTTTACCATAACAAGTTTCCAGCTAATTAAAATAATCCATGAAACATATGAATTTGAACTTGAAACTTAATAACTTACTCAGATGTATTTTAACATTAATGT